TCAGTAGCTTCGCTCTTGGTTGTAGTTAAAATTTCTTCCGTTGAAGAAATCTCACCTGCTTCAGATGTGCTAGCCGTAGGACTTGTTATCGGTTCCGTAGAAAAAGTGCTTGCATAAGGATTGAGCGTTGATTCAACATTGTCAGTTGAAGATGAAATCTGGTCAGTAGCTTCGCTCTTGGTTGTATATAAAATTCCTTCTGTGGAAGAGGAGGAATCACCTGCCTCAGTTGTGCTAGCCGTAGAAATTGTTATCGATTCCGTGGAAGAAGTGCCTGCATATGGATTGAGAATTGAATTCTCATTGCCAATTGAAGATGAAACCTTATCAGTCGCTTCGCTCTTGGTTGTATATAAAACTTCTTCCGTTGAAGAGAAGATCTCACCTGCTTCAGATGTGCTAGCCGTAGGAATTGTTATCGAATCCGTGAGAGAAGTGCCTGCATATGGATTGAGAATTGAATTCTCATTGCCAATTGAAGATGAAACCTTATCAGTCGCTTCGCTCTTGGTTGTATATAAAACTTCTTCCGTTGAAGAGAAGATCTCACCTGCTTCAGATGTGCTAGCCGTAGGACTTGTTATCGGTTCCGTAGAAAAAGTGCTTGCATAAGGATTGAGCGTTGATTCAACATTGTCAGTTGAAAATGAAATCTGGTCAGTAGCTTCGCTCTTGGTTGTAGATAAAATTTCTTCCGTTGAAGAGGAGATCTCACCTGATTCAGTTGTGCTAGCCGTAGGACTTGTTATCGGTTCCGTAGAAAAAGTGCTTGCATAAGGATTGAGCGTTGATTCAACATTGTCAGTTGAAAATGAAATCTGGTCAGTAGCTTCGCTCTTGGTTGTAGATAAAATTTCTTCCGTTGAAGAGGAGATCTCACCTGCTTCAGTTGTGCTAGCCGTAGGACTTGTTATCGATTCCGTGGAAGAAGTGCTTGCATATGGATTGAGCGTTGATTCCTCATTTCCAGTTGAAGATGAAATCTGATCAGTAGCTTCGCTCTTGGTTGTAGTTAAAATTTCTTCCGTTGAAGAAATCTCACCTGCTTCAGATGTGCTAGCCGTAGGACTTGTTATCGGTTCCGTAGAAAAAGTGCTTGCATAAGGATTGAGCGTTGATTCAACATTGTCAGTTGAAGATGAAATCTGGTCAGTAGCTTCGCTCTTGGTTGTAGATAAAATTTCTTCCGTTGAAGAGGAAATCTCACCTGCTTGAGACGTGCTAGCCGTAGGACTTGTTACCGATTCCGTGAAAGAAGTGCTTGCATATGGATTCAGCGTCGATTCCTCATTGCCAGTTGAAGATGAAATCTGATCAGTAGCTTCGCTCTTGGTTGTAGATAAAATTTCTTCCGTTGAAGAGGAGATCTCACCTGCTTCAGTTGTGCTAGCCGTAGGACTTGTTATCGATTCCGTGGAAGAAGTGCTTGCATATGGATTGAGCGTTGATTCCTCATTGCCAGTTGAAGACGAAATCTGATCAGTAGCTCCGCTCTTGGTTGTAGATAAAATTTCTTCCGTTGAAGAGGAGATCTCACCTGCTTCAGTTGTGCTAGCCGTAGGACTTGTTATCGATTCCGTGGAAGAAGTGCTTGCATATGGATTGAGCGTTGATTCCTCATTGCCAGTTGAAGACGAAATCTGATCAGTAGCTCCGCTCTTGGTTGTAGATAAAATTTCTTCCGTTGAAGAGGAGATCTCACCTGCTTCAGTTGTGCTAGCCGTAGGACTTGTTATCGATTCCGTGGAAGAAGTGCTTGCATATGGATTGAGCGTTGATTCCTCATTGCCAGTTGAAGACGAAATCTGATCAGTAGCTCCGCTCTTGGTTGTAGATAAAATTTCTTCCGTTGAAGAGGAGATCTCACCTGCTTCAGTTGTGCTAGCCGTAGGACTTGTTATCGATTCCGTGGAAGAAGTGCTTGCATATGGATTGAGCGTTGATTCCTCATTGCCAGTTGAAGACGAAATCTGATCAGTAGCTCCGCTCTTGGTTGTAGATAAAATTTCTTCCGTTGAAGAGGAGATCTCACCTGCTTCAGTTGTGCTAGCCGTAGGACTTGTTATCGATTCCGTGGAAGAAGTGCTTGCATATGGATTGAGCGTTGATTCCTCATTGCCAGTTGAAGACGAAATCTGATCAGTAGCTCCGCTCTTGGTTGTAGATAAAATTTCTTCCGTTGAAGAACAGATCTCGCCTGCTTCAGTTGTGCTAGCCGTAGGACTTGTTATCGATTCCGTGGAAGAAGTGCTTGCATATGGATTGAGCGTTGATTCCTCATTGCCAGTTGAAGATGAAATCTGATCAGTAGCTCCGCTCTTGGTTGTAGATAAAATTTCTTCCGTTGAAGAGGAGATCTCACCTGCTTCAGTTGTGCTAGCCGTAGGACTTGTTATCGATTCCGTGGAAGAAGTGCTTGCATATGGATTGAACGTTGATTCCTCATTGCCAGTAGAAGATAAAATCTGATCAGTAGCTCCGCTCTTGGTTGTAGATAAAATTTCTTCCGTTGAAGAGGAGATCTCACCTGCTTCAGTTGTGCTAGCCGTAGGATTTTTTATCGATTCCGTAGAAAAAGAACTTGCATATGGATTGAGCGTTGATTCCCCATTGCCAGTTGAAGATGAAATATGATCAGTAGCTCCGCACTTGGTTGTAGATAAAATTTCTTCCGTTGAAGAGGAGATCTCACCTGCTTCAGGTGAGGTAGCCTTAGGACTTGTTATCGATTCCGTGGAAGAAGTGCTTGCATATGGATTGAGCGTTGATTCCTCATTGCCAGTTGAAGATGAAATCTGATCAGTAGCTTCGCTCTTGGTTGTAGATAAAATTTCTTCCGTTGAAGAGGAGATCTCACCTGCTTCAGTTGTGCTAGCCATAGGACTTGTCATCGATTCCGTGGAAGAAGTGCTTGCATATGGATTGAGCGTTGATTCCTCATTGCCAGTTGAAGACGAAATCTGATCAGTAGCTCCGCTCTTGGTTGTAGATAAAATTTCTTCCGTTGAAGAGGAGATCTCACCTGCTTCAGTTGTGCTAGCCGTAGGACTTGTTATCGATTCCGTGGAAGAAGTGCTTGCATATGGATTGAGCGTTGATTCCTCATTGCCAGTTGAAGATGAAATCTGATCAGTAACTTCGCTCTTGGTTGTAGATAAAATTTCTTCCGTTGAAGAGGAGATCTCACCTGCTTCAGTTGTGCTAGCCGTAGGACTTGTTATCGATTCCGTGGAAGAAGTGCTTGCATATGGATTGAGCGTTGATTCCTCATTGCCAGTTGAAGATGAAATCTGATCAGTAACTTCGCTCTTGGTTGTAGATAAAATTTCTTCCGTTGAAGAGGAGATCTCACCTGCTTCAGTTGTGCTAGCCGTAGGACTTGTTATCGATTCCGTGGAAGAAGTGCTTGCATATGGATTGAGCGTTGATTCCTCATTGCCAGTTGAAGATGAAATCTGATCAGTAACTTCGCTCTTGGTTGTAGATAAAATTTCTTCCGTTGAAGAGGAGATCTCACCTGCTTCAGTTGTGCTAGCCGTAGGACTTGTTATCGATTCCGTGGAAGAAGTGCTTGCATATGGATTGAGCGTTGATTCCTCATTGCCAGTTGAAGATGAAATCTGATCAGTAGCTTCGCTCTTGGTTGTAGATAAAATTTCTTCCGTTGAAGAGGAGATCTCACCTGCTTCAGTTGTGCTAGCCGTAGGACTTGTTATCGATTCCGTGGAAGAAGTGCTTGCATATGGATTGAGCGTTGATTCCTCAATGCCAGTTGAAGATGATATCTGATCAGTAGCTTCGCTCCTGGTTGTAGATAAAATTTCTTCCGTTGAAGAGGAGATCTCACCTGCTTCAGTTGTGCTAGCCGAAGGACTTGTTATCGATTCCGTGGAAGAAGTGCTTGCATATGGATTGAGCGTTGATTCCTCAATGCCGGTTGAAGATGATATCTGATCAGTAGCTTCGCTCCTGGTTGTAGATAAAATTTCTTCCGTTGAATAGGAGATCTCACCTGCTTCAGTTGTGCTAGCCGTAGGACTTGTTATCGATTCCGTGGAAGAGGTGCTTGCATATGGATTGAGCGTTGATTCCTCAATGCCGGTTGAAGATGATATCTGATCAGTAGCTTCGCTCCTGGTTGTAGATAAAATTTCCTCCGTTGAAGAGGAGATCTCACCTGCTTCAGTTGTGCTAGCCGTAGGACTTGTTATCGATTCCGTGGAAGAAGTGCTTGCATATGGATTGAGCGTTGATTCCTCATTGCCAGTTGAAGATGAAATCTGATCAGTAGCTTCGCTCTTGGTTGTAGGTAAAATGTCTACCGTTGAAGAGATCTCACCTGCTTCAGTTGTTGTAGCCGCAGGACTTGTTATCGATTCTGTTGAAGATGTGCTTGCATATGGGTTGAGCGTTGATCCCTCATTGCCAGTTGAAGATGAAATCTGATCTGTAGCTTCGCTCTTGGTTGTAGATAAAATTTGTTCCGTGGAAGTGGAGGTCTCACCTGCTTCAGTTGTGCTAGCCGTAGGACTTGTTATCGATTCCGTGGAAGAAGTGCTTGCATATGGATTGAGCGCTGATTCCTCAATGCCAGTTGAAGATGATATCTGATCAGTAGCTTCGCTCTTGATTGTAGATAAAATTTCTTCTGAGGAAGAGGAGATCTCACCTTCTTCAGTTGTTGTAGCCGTAGGACTTGTTATCGATTCTGTGGAAGAAGTGCTTGCATATGGATTGAGCGTTGATTCCTCAATGCCAGTTGAAGATGATATCTGATCAGTAGCTTCGCTCTTGTTTGTAGATAAAATTTCTTCTGAGGAAGAGTAGATCTCACCTTCTTCAGTTGTTGTAGCCGTAGGACTTGTTATGGATTCTGTGGAAGAAGTGCTTGCATATGGATTGAGCGTTGATTCCTCATTGCCAGTTGAAGATGAAATCTGATCTGTAGCTCCGCTCTTGGTTGTAGATAAAATTTCTTCCGTTGAAGAGGAGATCTCACCTGCTTCAGTTGGGCTAGCCGTAGGACTTGTTATCGATTCCGTGGAAGAAGTGCTTGCATATGGGTTGAGCGTTGATCCCTCATTGCCAGTTGAAGATGAAATCTGATCTGTAGCTCCGCTCTTGGTTGTAGATAAAATTTCTTCCGTTGAAGAGGAGATCTCACCTGCTTCAGTTGTGCTAGGCGTAGGACCTTTTATCGATCCCGTGGAAGAGGTGCTTGCATATGGAATGAGCGTTGATTCCTCATTGCCAGTTGAAGATTTAGGCTGATCAGTATCGGTGCTCTTGGTTGTAAACAAACGTTCTTCAGTTGAAGTGGCGGACTCACTTCCTTCAATTTTGCCTGGCGTAGGATTTGCAGAGTAGTCGTTTTCTTCGGATGTTTTTGTAGTAGAACGTGAAGCCCCTTCGTCGGAGTCCTTTCCAGGTTTTCCGCTGTTTTCCGATGCACTGCTCTCTGCAGTTTCTGAGGATGAAGTTTCACTAGAGCTTTCATCAGTACAACCGCTTTCACAACAATCTTCACTTGAATGGTCTTCCCTCGTTTCTTTTGTTTCGTAAGTTGACGAACTGTCCCCATTTATTGCCGAATAGGAAGATTCATCGTGGTCTTCAAAACCATTATTTAGGCTAATTTCATCAATTGGAGAATTGATTTCATCGGTTTCGCTTGATTCATCAGTTGACGAGCTGTTTTCATCTGTTTCCGAGAATGAGTTATCGTCGTGTTTATTATCATAACTGTCATTTTCGAGTGTCCTTCCATATAAAGATCGGCTTTCATCCGTTTGGCTAATATCATTAATTGATAATGAAATACTGACGACGCTGCCATCGGATTCGTCAGTTTCTTCAGTTGCCCTATTAATAGAACTATCTTTATTTGTTTGCAAAACCCAATTATCGTCGGAGTTTTCCGCAGAACTATCACTTATGCTAGCTTCAATACTTAGGGAGCTATTTTCGTCTTGCTCTGAAGATGAAATATCATCGTTTTCGTAATCAGAGTTTTCACTTTCGCTTGTTTGCAGACTCGAATAACCCGATTCTGAAGAGAAAAATGCAAACCTGCGCTTTCTGGTGACATTATCTTTCTCTAACCGAAATTGCTTACAGTATGCGCTCTTTATGCGTTTTCCCACTGTTGGCTCTGACTTTTCACTTTTATCACATTCAGCTGTTACGCATAGCTCAAATTGTCTGATAAATCGCTCCTTCAATAACTTATACTCTTTTTTGGCAGCTTCTAAGCAAATTTGGTTCTTTTCACTACAACCTCTTAGCTTATTTTCATATGCCCTTCGAGCGCCATAATTTTTTCGTTGCACGTTTGAATAGCAAGTGTTTCCTTTTTGAGCCACAGAAGAATAGCTGAAGTTAATCTTAATAAATGCCAAAATACAAATGTAGGACAGAAATAACTTAAAAGACTTCATTTGCACACTCAAACGGTCTCTGCTGTTTTTTACTTAACTTAAAACCCGCTTGGCGCCCTTTAAAATTCCACGAAAACTTAAAGTTACTGAAAGCTCTCAGTATTTATACACCCTATTTACGGGCGGTAGAGACACGTCTTGGGTTACAAACTTTTACTCAGAAATTTTAATATGTTAGCTGTAGGATATTGCTAGAACAATTATGAAAGTGTACAAAATTGCTTTGGAATATTTTTCTGTTAGTTACGAGCCATAAATAATATAATGTCATTTTTTAATGTTATTGTTCCGGTAGCAAAATGTATGCAAATAACCAATAGGAGTAAAAACTGAAGTATAAATGATAAAGAAGTCGGCCGAAGATTCAATACCTTATATGTATACAGTAAAGACATAAACATTTCGTAAAGTATTCGTAGTTTAAAACCAAGATCGTAGCATTATTTAAGATTTTTCAATTAAAATACAGTTCATTCCCTAACAAATACCATATATGTAAACCTAAACTTAAGATTTTATAGAACTCTTAAAAAAAATTCATCAAACTTCTTAAGCGGGTTTCACTGTATTTAAAACTTTTGACATTCTTTTTATACCTTTCATGAGCATGAAATAATATTATAACTGTGGTCCGATGCTTGTAAGTACCAGAATATGAAGAGATAGACCCCCTAAAATATATACTTATTTGCTCAGAATGTCGAGCTGAGTTCATTTAGCCATGTCCGTCTGTCCGCCTGTCCGCCTGTACGTATGTTTGTATGCAATCTACTTTCTCAGTTTTCGAGATATCCAGATGCAATTTGGTAAGCGGTTGTATTTTTATAATGTACTAGCTATACCCTGCCACGCTTTGCTGTGGNTGTAAACCTAAACTTAAGATTTTATAGAACTCTTAAAAAAAATTCATCAAACTTCTTAAGCGGGTTTCACTGTATTTAAAACTTTTGACATTCTTTTTATACCTTTCATGAGCATGAAATAATATTATAACTGTGGTCCGATGCTTGTAAGTACCAGAATATGAAGAGATAGACCCCCTAAAATATATACTTATTTGATCAGAACGTCGAGCTGTCCGTCTGTCCGTCTGTTTGTATGCAATCTACTCTCTCAGTTTTCGAGATATGCAGATGAAATTTGGTAAGTGGTTGTATTTTTATAATGTACTAGCTATACCCTGCCACGCTTTGCTGTGGCATATTCCTGTTACATGGATGATAAATGATTAACGAAACAAAGCATACGTTTCAGATAAGTTTGATTTTTCCATACCTGTGTATAGGTACACAATATGTTTCGTTTTTCCATTCTCTACGTAGATATCAAGGCTATCTGGTTTGCCTACCACATCTAAATTCGCCACACCCTGACTATATGTAAATGAGCTCATGACACCCATTCTTACCACACGTCACTTAAACTGACCACAACTCAACTCATCTCACCTCAATTTGGGAACTTTTTCGGGATCTTAGAGATTTTTGGAATTCTCGGGACTGAATCCGGATTTTTGAGACAATTTCGGGATAAATCAGAATTTTCAAGTCTATTTTGGGATTTTCGGCACTATTTCGAGATTTTCGAGACTATTTCATTTCGATATATTTATAGATATTGTTATCGACGAAAAAAATACATATTCTTATTGATATATTTGTCGAGGTAATAATTGATATTTTTATTGATATACATATCAATGACATAGATTATGTTATAGATGTAATACTCGATATTGTTATTGATATATAACTGTTGTAGAAATCGAAATCAATATATTTATCGAAACTGTTATCGGTATTGAAATCATATATTTATCGAAATTGTTATCGATATCATAATCGAATTTGTGTTCAATATAATAATCGATATTCCAAATTTGCTTAGTACAAAATATAGACGAACGTATTTTGTTTTCCCCATAAGGTTAGCCTTAAAAACCAAATGTTCAAAGCGTTTTATCTGCAATTCAGATGTCTCAACTTAGGCGGTTATTGCTTACGACCACAGATATAACCCTTTTTGTTACCTTTTGGCTTTGGAACTATTTAAGTTAAAAGTGATTTACATTTGAGTATCATTTTCCATATCTCCAGCTTATTTTTTTATCACCTGTACAGTTGTAAAATTTTTACAAACAACCTAATTGACTTTGTATAATCAGTGTGAAAAAGGCATCGAAACAAATTAGGGGTATTCTCGAAGTCTTGCATGTTGCATGGGTACGAGAGCACCCCATTGCAAAGCGGTAGCATGCATAACAATAACAAGATAGAGAAACAAGTAGTTTTTAAGCAAAAAACAAAACCGACTAGAATTCTCATATAAAAATTTAAGATTATCGTTAATTTCTTCACGGCCAAACTATCGGATCTATTATGGGACCACACTTGAGGTACAATCTATCCGATGAAAAAAAAAGTTATCGAAATCGGTTAACGTGGTCCAAAGCTATGCGGTAACATACATAAAAAAACTTTTCCGACGAACTGATAACCTCCTAATTTTTTTAAGTCGGTTAAAAAAATGAAGCGAGCGGGATGAGAGGAATGAGAGAAATATGTAGCAATTCAAACACCAAAACAGTTAGCACAGAGTCGCATTTATCTTGCTATACTTTTTTGCAAAATATGTACATGGGTCCAGACGTTGGATACTTTGCAGTTATAGGAAATGCTTCCCATGTATTTGGTTATTGTGTGTTTGCAAATTATGCAATCCGCACAATCGATGCTACATTTAACGGCTTTGCAAGATTTCGAGAATACCCCTATTTTTGTTTTGTTACAATAGCACAACAAACACTTGAACTACTTCTTGAATACAAATAACGTTATCGAAGCCTAACTAACTGCAATAAAAGTACAATAAGAAATATGTATCAGGAAATTTATGAATCATGGCCACACGAGTTGCGGAAAGCAATATGCTGAATTGTAAAGCAATATGTCAACGCCATAAAGTTCTGTGCTCGTATTTTGATTGAATTGGGAGCTGTTTGAACATTTACACATGTATGTGCAGATCAGTGTGTATGTACGACTACATGCCTACTATCCTTCAAAAATCTGCAGAAACAAAGTAAATAACAAATAGATAAAAAAATTAAAAATAAAAAATATTTTGTTTTTCCTATTGATATTTTATACCCAAAAGTAGTTAGTTACAAGTTAGTTGCATCAAATGCAGAGGTAACCACCCTTGACTATTTCGCGTCCATCGCCATATACATATAGTTAGCTTTCGTCAAAGAAAATATACAGATAATAAGTGTCTTATTGCTCATTCCTAATCAACTTAAAGTTAGCTTATAGTTAGATACATTTCCTGCAGGGAAGTTTTCAATACACCAATGAAGGCGTGCATTTTTTCTACTGCGAATTGTTTTTTTTTTTTTGCTTTTCTATGCCTAATTTTCTATGCCTAATAAATTAATAAGCGTTGACTGTCACTCAGTCCTAAATTGAATAATTTATTTTTTTATTACTTACAGCGTTTCTACCGAAAAATGTAACCGTATCTTTGCCCTCTATGCACAAACACTAGTTAAAAAGCGGGCCAAGAAGAGGAGGCAACTTTTTTTGTAGAAACGAAAACGCCATAAGCCAATTTAAACTCTCTTACACAGCATGTCACGTGTGAATCTACTCATTCAAGTGCTTCGTTTGTAAACAATCTGATAACAAGTAAATATAAGAATACGCCTAATGCAAGATGATGGCTAAGAGCCATGCACATGGAATCGTATTTTTCGATAAGAATTTGACATATTTATATTTTATTGTAAACGCACTCTTTAAGCGATTACTAAACTGTTCTTAAGTAAAAGCAATATTTTCATTATTAGTATATTTATGTAGTACATGAACGAAGAATATTCACAAATACATATTTAACAAGCAAATATTATATAAAGTTTTCTTACCATTCCGAAAACTACCGCCACAAGGTAAGAAGAGTGGTTTTACACCAATTTCTAACAAATTTCGATAGTATGTTCAGTTATACTTAATGAGATAAACTTATATAGTTATATGTGGGCGTTATCACGCCCATTTTCAAAAATTCCATAATTATGTTATTTTTTTTCAAGGAATGTTGTTAGCATTAATTTAGAGCATACTTAATAAATTTGGAAATATCGAGGTTTCAAGCATTTTTTAAATTTACCGGTATATGAGAAAGGGCGTAATTATAGTGCGATTGCAATAATTTTCAAGATTTTGCTTTTATGTCGCAAGCACAACAATCGCACCGAGTTTAGTACAAATTGATCGGACGGTTACCGAGACATACATATGGGGTCATAAGTGGGCGGGGCTACGCCCATTTTCCAAATTTTTACCAGAAACGAATTTTTTTGATAAAGACTTATTGCAAACATTAATTTTGAATAAATTAGCTTCAAAATTTACTGATTTATCGAAGACTTCGTATTTCCCTAAATTACCGTTATATGTAATGTAGGCGTGGTTATTGTCCGATTTCAAAAATTTTCAGCTGTTTGGTATGTGGTACCAAGGCCAACAACTACGCCAACTTTGAGAGAAATGAGAGAATCGTGTACACAGACAGACGGACAGACTGACAGACAGTAACCGCCTAATCGATTTCTTTTTTCATTCTGATCATTAATGTATACATTTGTCTATATCACGATTCGTTTTAACTGTTACAAACAACCGTTATGTAAACAAAGTTATAATAGCCCTGTGCCCAAGCGCGGTCGGGTATAAAAATTACTAACGGAGTTGGTGACTTCAACCTGAGAGCTTATATACCACTTTTTTCCATTTTTGTGAGTCTACACATTCACTATTAAATTTTTTTGTTCCAATGAGACAACAAATAGGTTGGTCGAAGTACCGAGAATATCGAAGCTGGTCAAAACTGCATTATCTATTCCCAAAAGTCATTAAAGAGAGCTTTGATTTTAATGAAAGCTCGTTATATGTTATCGTGAAGAAATTCAAACGGAACAGTGCCATTGGTAGCTTGTACGCGCTGAGTGGGTCCTCGAGAGAGTAAGCCCAAACTGGTGGATGATGGAGCTCTCTGATCTCAGAACACCAAGTAGATGGCTTTTTTGTAGACTTACGAAGAAATGGAGTGAACTCCGCCAACGAACACTCTAAAATCGTACAGAATATCTGTAAGACCCCTTTCCCTTCCTGTGGAAAAGCCTTGATTATTTTTTTTATAAGAAACGAGGAGATTGGGTCTCTGTAAGGCAGATTATAGCTTTTAATTTAATAAATTATAGAAGAATCTCCTGGACGTGTGGATCTTAAGTTATCTCTGCGAGTGATGAGCGAAAATCTCGAAATGTCCGAAAGTAGACCGCAGGGGGGCAAAGAAACTTTTTCAGCTGCCAAAACGCCAATTTTCAGCCTGTACAGAAATCCTGGAAGGACACTCTTCAATGAGAATCCATTCGTGTGACTTTGTGTTAGTTTGAATCCCTTTTTCCGAAGCTGTAAAGGGGATTCATTCAGTTTTTCCCTCTCAGTTGCCCTTGTTTTGAAAGACATCTAAACTACTTAGTACTTCACTGACACACTCTGGTGCGAGGGTGTGGACAACAGCTGTTTGTGTTTCGAAAAATTATCTTCAACACAGATAGCTTTACCTAAAAATTCCATGTAGTTTGCTTACACATTCCCTTCTTGGTGAATCTATAAAGTGAAAACACAACGGACTACACTAAAAATTTTAAAGATTTATAGGCGAGTCAATTAGCCATCTCGCAGCTTAATTTATTGCTGTTGGTTAAATGAGAGGTCTTGCGGGCATACTACACCTCCTTCAGATCTAACTTGGAGCCACCAGTGTATATGGCTGCGGAATCAGAGCAAGAGATCAGGACCGAATTCTCCTCACATTCACTTCTTGAGAGGCGGGCTGTGTAGTCCAAGCATCAAAAGGCTGCTGGAAGATTTTCCCAAATTCTAAAGTGTCCAAACACATTTAATCAAATAGCGTTACAACGCACCTATATATTAACATATATGTAATTCTCTAGGACTTTAGTCGGCGTGATTATTAAAAAATTAATATCGGGCGGTTACACATTTCTGCTAAGGTTTTCGCAGAATCTCCCTTTCAAGTATTCGTGTGCGGTGTAATGTACTACTAGGCAATGGGAGGGTCTAAATTTCTATCATTTTTCAACATTTACTACCTTCTTTCTTATTCACCTTATAAATACTTAAAGTTCTTTTGTTATGAATGATGACTAGACATATAAAATAGAATCGAACAATAGATAAACGCTAAGTACTAAATACGTCACAATACTGGTAGCATAGCTTAATTGCTTTTACATATGTATCTACATTAGGGTGCCCATCGAAATTTTTTTCATTCCGATTACAATAAATGAGCCATCAGTTTATTTGAAAA